TCAATTATATTTTACTCTTACTTAAAAAAGAGTAAATAGAATGGGGGAGGCAATTATAGTCAACATGAAATAAAAATTCTGCTGTTTTAAAAAACATAATCTGCAATATTTTTTTTAAAATCAGCACATATAAAATATCATTAAGATGTTTATTATTAAAGGCTTTATGTGTTATTCTGATATCTTTAAAGTAAATCATTGGTTTAAAATGTGTTTTATTTACATTTTCCCAACTTTCACAACAGTGCAGCATATATGACATTACAAGAGAGCAGAACAATAAACGCAACATCTTTCTACCAACAAATATAAAACACTTCTAACTTTAAAAATAAGTGAGAAATGGTTTCCTACAGTTTGTGATCTAGAATCACACCTAAACTTTTTGTAAACTGTTACAGCTTCATCAAAAACAGCTGTTTTTGTTTTACAGTTTAACCATCTTTTCTACAGAGTGCACACGCTCACAGTTTAATGGATAATTAATTCTATTTACAGTATGTTGAAGAAGCCATTTTGATGTAACTTAGTAAAACTTCATGTCCCGAGAGATGAGAAGGTGATCGGCTCTAGATAATAAGAATAAATAAACCTCATCAGGAATTAAACTCAGGTCTCCTCAGATCATTTTACTGCCAGGATGAAGGAGATGAGGTGAGCTGCTCCTCAGCTCCAGGGTAAATATTCCTGCTTGCCTCATGGCTTTCAGGCGTGTCGGGCTTTAATGAACCAAACCAGTTAAAGTGAGGACGGGTTAGGCATAGATAAATGGAAGATCTGCTTTTTTTTTCTTCATATTTCTTATAAGTATCTTTTTTCTTTTTCAAATGATTTATTGGGTGGGTCAGTCTTCATTTTTCAAGTCTTAGAATGGGTCTGCCCCCCCACCCCCACCCCCAACAAGATCTCTGCCCTAGGGTACAGAGGAGAACCAGGACTTTGTCTCAGTCTGGTTGATGAATCTCAAATTCTGCATTATTGATGGAGCTCCTTGGTGGTCTTTGAAGTGATGAAGACCGCGGGGCGGAGGGAAGGCTGGGAATGTCAGCAGCTGAGGAGGACAAGGACCGCTAACAGTTCACAGCTAACAGATATCTGCTAACAGCTATCAGCTCACAACTAACATCTCACAGCTATAAGCTAACAGCTCACAGCTAATAGCTAACAGCTATGAGCAGCAGAATTCAGGGTTTCTGCTTGATGTTGAAACAACGATGGTCGGCACGGTGCTGCAGCTGCGCAACACAATTCACCAGCAAATCTCCAGAATCTTTTGAGACAWTTGTTCTGGTTCTCAGGTTCCTTGTTTGTGTTTTAAAAATGTTCCAACAATGTTGGTTAACAAATTTTCAGTCACAATAGTCAGAGTGTCCCAGCTGTCTTAAGCCCACCTGGATTGTATCACGACTGACATAACAATGATAAAAAAAAAATCCCAATCTGCCTGCTTTTAAATCCAAAGTGTTCTCCTGAAGAACAACTCATCACCAAAACGAGCTGAGGATGGGTGTAATTTGACAGCACAATGGTTCAGTGGTTAGCACTGACGCCTCACAGCAAGGTGGTCCTGGGTTCGATCCCCGGGACTTTCTGTGTGGAGTTGTTCTTCTCGTGCTTGTGTGGGTTTTCTCCGGGTACTCCGGTTTCCCCTACGGACCAAAAACATTCACAGTTTCCTGCCTCCAGGACCAGGCCGCACTTGCAAAGCAGATCTGTGATCTCAGTGGGATTTTCCTGGTTAAATAAAGGTTAATAAATAAAAAATATATATAGGTGGAGGTGGACAACCTAACAATCCTGCATGGAGTCATGTGGCACATACAGCAGGTAAAATAAGTAATGAACGCGTCACCATTTTTCTCAGTAAATATATTACTAGAGGTGCTAATGARARYAACTTTTCACCAGATGTCGGTAACAACCCAAGTGATCCATACATACAAAGAAATCAAACCATAAATGTCCAGAAATGAAGTTATTTGTAATAATGTGGAATGGCACAGGGAAAAAGTATTGAACACATGAAGAAAGGGAGGTGTAAAAAGGCATGGAAAGCCAAGYCACCAGCTGAACTCTCTCAGTAATTAGAAAGCAAGCCTGCCCCTTGTCAGTGCAAGTTAATATCAGCTGGTTCAGTCCCAAATGATGGCCAGGTATCACACAAGAACCATCTGATGATGGGTAAAAGTAAAGAGCTCTCTCAAGACCTTCACAACCTTATTGTTGCAAAGCATAATGATGGCATCGGTTACAGAAGAATGTCTAAACTTCTGAAGGTTCCAGTGAGCACTGTTGGGGCCATAATTCAGAAGTGGAAAGAACATTATTTCACCATAAACTGACCACGACCAGGTGCTCCTCGCAAGATTTCTGACAGAGGAGTGAAAAGAATTATCAGAAGAGTTGTCCAAGAGCCAAGGACCACTTGTGGAGAGCTTCAGAAAGACCTGGAATTAGCAGGTACGATTGTTTCAAAGAAAACAATAAGTAATGCACTGAACCACCATGGCCTGTATGCACGCTCACCACGCAAGACTCCACTGCTGAAGAAACAGCATGTTGAAGCTCCTTTAAAGTTTGCTGCACAACATTTAAACAAGCCTGTGTAATACTGGGAGAATATAGTCTGGTCAGATGAGACCAACATTGAACTGTTTGGATGCCAGA